ACTGCAAGATTACCACCACTGCTGTCTTTTATTATTAGCTCCAGTTTAGCTTTAACATCTGTCGATAGTTGGGCTACACGCTGATCATTTACACTGACGGTCTCATGAGTGTCCATACCTTCTGCAACCGCATCTGCCCTTAATTCTACTTCACGTTCAAGTTGTACAGAACCTTTGTCTGACTCAGTAGTAGTAGGCATTCCGCTCATCTCATCATGATCAGCCACAGACAAATGTGCACTTTCATGATCATTATCACAAATACTCACTTCATCGCCGTTAATATGGTCGACTTTATCATTTTCAACCTCTTTAATAACAGCAGTAGGTGATTTGGGTTCTTCCTCATGAATCCTTAAAGGTTTTATACCTTTACTCTGACTAGTAATACCTTGAAAACTTGTGGAGTCATAACCTGATTTCACGTTTAGCCTACCACTAAACTTGCTCACTGCTTCACAGTTAGCTTTTGTGTGCACTTCTTGCAAACGTGTAAAACACAACCGTGTTTGTTTCACAACTTGCAACCTATCTGTTGGGGACGTCCCACGAAAGCTGTCACATTCATTGAGTTTATACGGATTACTAGACACCATAAAGCTTTCTCGATATCCACTTCTCTGAGACCCTTTCGTCATAAATGACTGCGATTTGCTCTCTGACTTTTCTATTCCAGGGATGGGATGCAGTATACTGGCGAACTTGCTCATAGCTTGGTTAACACTGTCTTTCACCAGTTTCAGAATATCATAGAGATTTAGCTCTAAACCTTCATCCTCTATACGAGAGCTTATCTTCACCCATTCCCTTTGCAGTCGAGTAGGTAGGCGTCTCGCTATTACCTATAAGACAGAACTGGAGTTCATATCACTCATTCAATTCATCGAAACCAACGTATTCTTGTAGGTCATCAGATTATCGAAAAACTCAGTGAGTGCCCTGGAGTCATCTCGTAATTGACTACCATTACCCTTAACAGCCTCGAATACATTCATTACAATCATCGGAGGTCTTCCAAACCTTTGACGCAGGATACGCATAGCCTCCGTGTATCCCTCCCTAGGTGGCGGAAACTTGCAGCACCGTATTGCACTCGCCGCACTTCCGGCACAATACCTCAGCAAGTACATTAGTTTCATTTCATCAATTAGTTTCAAACCCTTCGATTTCTTTCACAAAGTGAGGGAAGTCAGCAGGATTCCCTTCAAAGCACCTAGGCTCGAACTTCGATGGCTTCAAGCAACTTGTCTCCCTGGCTGGTACATCATGCTTGTCCAACATAACATCAGACATAACATTACACACATTAGACAAATCATCAAGACTTACTTTGTCGTCTGCCTCCAAAGTGCTTCGTCCTTTCCTTGGCCCAGGCATTATTGGACTTAACCAAACGATCCAGAGAAGTTCCAAATAACACTTGTCCAGAGAAGACTTGCAGACGCAACGAAAGACGAATTGCCACCAAATACAGCAAATACTTCCAAAAACTATCAGAAACTGTCAATGTCCAGGTCTAACTACCCTGGACTTAACGCTGTTCTTAGAAGACTTTCAGAAACTATTGTCAATAACCAACGCGAAAAACCAGAACACGAATTGGTGATTCAAGAATCCTATATTCTTGCCTCATTGGAACATTCACAAAGTCATTGGAACATTTACAATCCTGGAGTTCTATTCTTGTACTTCGCCCTTGCGCCAATACAGAACCAACCACAAGGTTATTGTACAAAAAGTTTCTGATAGTTTTTCTCTATCTTCTAACAAACAGCGAACGATAGAACGATGACTGCAGTATCGATGACTCCCGCCAAAATATGGAGTTGGGTTTGAGCAAACAACCATGAATTGATCGTTCTTTCTTCATCTACTTTGACGGTATAATATACAATGATCCCCAGGTTATAAGTGAACTCCTCAGTGAGTGGTTTTGCAATGACACCAGAGTGCACTCGACCCCAAATTTCCACATGACCCACGGAAGTAACCACAAATTAAGCGAAATAGACTTTAATATACAAAATATAGACTCATCAATTAAGATCTTGAAGTCTAATGGTTGTACTGGAACAGACGACATACCATCTGTCATATACAAAAGTGGTAGCACGGAAATGAGCGACTTTATTGCATATCCCCTCAATGACGTTTGTCTCAATGTTGCTATTGGTTTCAAGTGGCCTTGGTTTTGGGGCGAGATTTAACTGATATAATATTGTGATTTCATAGACATATCTCAGGCTCATACGTGAAAGAAAGTTTTTATCCTGTAATAAAGAAAAGTTGTTCAGTAGGTAAGGAGGACGTTATTTTTCAGTTTATTTGTGTATATACTATTGTGCACCGAGTTGCGCTGAGTTCTCATTGCAACTGTATGTAACTGCATTTACATAAAATGAAACATTAGGAATGCTCCTGTTTCTAGAAGAAAAACATTATTATTATCATTAAGTTTAGTAATGAAGAATGGAATTTCTTCAGCGTCAATGTTATTTAATTGAAGTTGTAATCTGTGTAGGCCCTCGGAGGAATAAATTCGGCATGGAAATCTCCTATGTAAACCGAAAGTGCTTTTAGTTTAGTAAATCTTACTGATTTCATGTATAAATTTGATATTTGTCAAGTGTATATTTCAAATCTGCTGGAGTATTCAGTAAAGTAAAAGCTGTGGTGCATGATTCCAAGACTTGTTTTAGTCATTGGTATTGCCAAGATACCACTTACTCGTTTTATGCAGCCGAAATATACAAATCTCGCTTTATTGAGGAAACACTATAATGCCTGCAAAAGTATTGCGTGTATCATTTCGAAATTTCATAACAGCTCCATAAAAATGAGGTCAAAGATGTAAAACGGAAACAATTTTAAGAGAACATATTGGACCATGTTTAATGCACATTAAACAGTCGAGCGAATACAATTGTCACGATTTATATGTAAGTATTACTGATAACGGTTCACGTTTGACAGGCCCACTATTGAAAAGTCCAAAAACATTAGAACAAAAAGTGGGTTAACTATAACAGATGAAATTATATACTTATCATGAACCTGGAGGACAACTGTACAATTCAATAACTATACGGCCTAATTCAGAAAATGAGTGTATTATATGTATCGAATATTTAACAGTTGAAATACGATTAACTTGTAGACAATCTACGATTTGATATTATATCATACTTGATCGTGCCTGTAAAAATGGCATGCATTTTCTTGTAAATTTGTAAATTTATATGAAATACATTATTATTATTGAAATATAACGAAATATGAAACACAAAAGTGAGGGTGGGCTGAAATCACACAGATGAAAAAGGAGACTTGTCATAAGTAGAATGTAGATTGTTTCGTTTGCTGAGGACTGTTTACGAGGTCACATATTAAAACCTTGGGTATGAAAAGGAAACCAGAGGGGGAGTGATTGTGTCGATTCACAGATGAAAACATATACTTGCTGTAGGGAAAGTGTTAACAGTTGTGATTACAGCTCACCTTTCATCCCCTTTCATATTAAAAAAACGGATGTTTGCCTAGAGGTATATAAGCAGTACTCCTTACATACAGAGACCATTCTTACAGGATTTATAAATCATGCAGGTGAGTTATATTTTGGGTGTATATTTGTCCATTTCCATTATAAGGAAAACAACTCAGATAATGTATTAGATTCGGGCATTCAACCTTCTGCAACAAGTCGTAAGAGAAGAATATCTTCTGGCAGACTGCATGAATGCCTTGGATACAGCTACTCCACATTTTACCGCCGTCAAAAACGGTTACGTGATGCAGCATTTAGTGACTGGGACTTCTGGAAACGTTACTCCTCATCTAGAGAAGAGGTGGCAAGGGTTAATACAGTACCTTTGCCTTCAAGTTCAACTGTACAGGGAACAGTGGGTATACCTAGTACTAGTGAGACCGTCGCTGTAGTTTCACAAATTGAAGAGAACCGTAACATTTATTATTATGTATTAATTAGTTTTAATAGAACTTCAGATTGTTCCCGAAAAGATGACACAAAAAGAGCTGGTCAGAAAATCAATTATGGAATTGTTACTTAGGAACAATGTAACAGGGGTTCTTGCGCAAGATATCTTGGACTGTATGCGTAAATTTAGTCTACATGTACCAACAACCATACGAGGCTTGCTAAAAGATAGCGGCATGTGTGTACCTAGATTTCTTGGACAAGGCGTTTACTATCACATTGGACTGAAGGAAAATCTGCAGCGTTATCTAGATAGTTGGGTTGACTACGGTACTTTTCAACATGTTGGCTTGCAAATCAACTATGACGGTTTATCTATATCGAACAGTTCTTCGCAGCAATTATGGCCATTCCTAGGTCGTATCACAACTCCATACGTCAGTGACGTTTTCTTAATTGGCATACATGGCGGTTTGAGAAAACCGAACAACTTCAATGAGGTTTCTATGGACCTATTAGTTGAATTGAAAGATCTTTATAAAAACGGTCTATATGTTGAGAAGTGGGGTAAGAGTGTGACTGTCAGTGTTCTAGCATTTATATGTGACACGCCTGCTCGTTCTAATGTAAAACAAACCGTCGGTCACAATGGAAAAACAGGTTGTGATAAATGTGAAGTTGTAGGTTGTCGTTTGGAGGGTAGGATGACATTTCCTAATGGGAACCAGACACTTAGAAATGATAGAACATTCCGTGGTCAAGTTCAATTAAGCCACCATCGAGGCAGAAGCTCCCTTGAGGAATTGCCACTTGACATGGTAAAGTCATTTCCCTTGGAGCCAATGCATCTAATATACCTTGGTATTGTTAAGAAGTTGGTGTTCCTTTGGCTGGGTCTTGCAGCACGGCGAGAGAAGCAGATGGATAGTAAGATTATTGCAGATATTAATAACGGACTGCAAGGAAGTAGAAAACACATTCCTTCTGATTTTCAGAGGAAATGTCGGTCCTTAGATGACCTTAGCCAATGGAAAGCAACTGAGTGTAGACTTTTCCTACTATATTTAGGTCCTGTCCTACTCAGGAACACTCTGCCGTGCCACCTGTACGCTAATTTCAGGAGATTATCCCTGGCAGTATACTTACTTTCGAGTACCAAATACAGCCGACTGTTTTTGGATGCTGCTCGGACAGATTTGAGTAATTTCTTACTGCAATATGAGAATTGTTTCGGAAGTGAACATATTGTTTACAATATACATTCTCTAAAACATATAGCGGATGACGTTGAGCTGCATGGGCCACTAGAAGAATTCAGCGCATTTCCCTTCGAATCCTATATGCGCAAGATAAGGCAGTCCGTGCACTGTGGTTACACTGTGGCTAAGCAGGCAGCTCAGCGCTATGTTGAACACGTGTACTTAATGAAAAGTACAGGTGTGAAGCATGTACCTAAGGAAGCTGGTAATAGGTGTATTGAATTCAGCAAGGGAAAGCTGACGTATCGGAATACCATATTCACATCTTATTCTCCGGACAACGTCATCTTAGCCTTAGGTAAACCAGGGAATATAGTTGAAATGGAAAGTGAAGATAGGATCCGTTTTCGACCCTACAGTGATTATAGTGATGATTTTACGACACCGTTTAAGTCAAGGAATTTAGGGATATTTAGATGTTCGAAATTCAGTCACGAAACACATTGGATATCCTATGTGAATATTGTCTGCAAGTGCATGACTGTTCCAACAACTAATGACGAAGTAGTCATCCCCCTGCTTCATACTTTTAATTGAAGGAACTGTGCCGTAATTTTTTGCTTGAACTGTTGATATGTAATTCGTCTAAGTTTTTTTGTGACATCTATTTGTCGTCAAGTCCGAACATCTACCTTTAACTGGTTAATGTTGTTGGTCAAACTGAAGTTCATTTGACAGTTTATTCCAAGTTTTTGAGATATAGGTATATCCATGCTGTTATTCATTTTAAGCAACCTGATACAGATAAAGTAACAGTCGTATTTCCACTTCATTACATATCCTTCCGCAGAATTCTACACCAATCAGATATCTCGTCGTCCGTCTCCTAGAAGATGACACTGTAGTCGCCATCCCAAACACCTGGGTTATGCGTAGTGGTTTATGTGCGTACAGCAGCACAGCAAACCATCTAGAGCCTATGTATACCGGGACTGGATGGTCAGTGTTTCAATTCCGTCAACTGCAGGAATTCGGTAAGTTGGCATATTTCATTATCACCCTTCTAGATACTTATGAGAATTGTAAAAAGGGTGTCGAGCTTTTGAGAAGCAATGATCAAGGCTCCAAGAAGGCAGACATGGACGATGATACGTTGCCAATGCCTAGTAAGAGACCAAAAAGGTAGGTGCCATTTTCTGTCTAACGTATTTTTCAGGGATGCCAAGAAATTAGAGAAGAATTTCCTTTATAACTCAATGGATATTGATGTGGCCGCCAGTGAAGTTGGTTGCATCAAACCACAATATCCAGATTACAATATATTTGATGGCTTCATAGCCCAAATCCCAAGGTATTTACGTAATTGAAAGCCATTCATTTTCAGTACTTCCAGTGCTCCCATAATCCATACTTCTTCTCCTATTGGCAAAAACACAACTGTATCTGACCGGTAGGAATAATTGTTACAATTTTTATTCGTGCTTTAGACTACCGTCTAACGAAGATACCACTGATTCCAAAATTCAGAAAATACTCGGTAATTACTTAAAAATAACTATTCATTTAAAGATGGTGTAATGCAACTTATCAATTTGCATACAAAAATGCTGAACATTATGACTATTGACAGAAAATCTCGACAACAAACCTCCCTTCCAGCAAACGATGACTTCACACTGCAGTTTCCGATCGAGAATGAAGACCACTTAGAGATGCTGGAAGCATCTTTAAGAGACGAAAAGTACAAACAGCAATATGTGAGTTGACATATTTAATTCTTATTTCTTGTAGACTGCTAAGATGGTTAGCTGCCTTCAGAGTGATCCAAAGTTATCACTTAAGGTCATGATGCACCATGTTCTAAAACCTGAAGTGGCTTTGAAGTTTACATTTCAGGGGACTTTGACAAAGTCAAGCATTGTGCCTTATACCTTTTACAAAATAATGAGATGTAAGGTTCATTTATAAAGTACTTAGTTCTTTAGATGTAATTATGGCGCAATTCTCCGGCCAACTAATGACGTCGAGAGAGGTTGGTGAAATAATGGATAAGGCCACGAAATCGTACTTTCACAATTTGAAAGATCGTGTCCAAAGACGTAAGCTGAAGAAAGGAACTCAGGTAAAATTGCGAAACACCTGCTTGTTTTTATAAGTCAACGTTTATTGAACATATAGTAATGACAACATTGTTTTCATTTGTAGGCAAATGGAGAAGATACCAGGGGATATAACAGTGGCAGTTATGTAAGTAAACCTTTATAAATGTAAATTCTTACAATGTGCTGAGCACTATTTTTCATCAACTAATCTTATATTTTTCTTATTTACAGGATGCTACCAGTGGATCTCACTTGACGGATTTGCAGTGACAATGTACTACAGTTTATTAAATATAAAATTCTCTCAATTATAAAAACTGATTTCCTTCTGTAAAATGACTGAATTGCGCCGGCGTAGGACACAGGTGATGATAATAAGCAGCAGTCTTTTCGTTCTGAAGTAATGCTAGTCAGTTCTGAATGTGCGCTGAGAAGGCTAGAATTAGGCTGAAAAAATTGCCACTATGTGCTGAATTAGGTCTTTTCGTTCTGAAGTAATGCTAGTCAGTTCTGAATATGTGCTGAGAAGGCTAGAATTAAGCTGAAAAAATTGCCACTATGTTCTGAATTAGGTCTTTTCGTTCTGAAGTAATGCTAGTCAGTTCTGAATATGTGCTGAGAAGGCTAGAATTAAGCTGAAAAAATTGCCACTATGTTCTGAATTAGGTCTTTTCGTTCTGAAGTAATGCTAGTCAGTTCTGAATATGTACTGAGAAGGCTAGAATTAAGCTGAAAAAATTGCCACTATGTTCTGAATTAGGTCTTTCCGTTCTGAAGTAATGCTAGTCAGTTCTGAATATGTACTGAGAAGGCTAGAATTAAGCTGAAAAAATTGCCACTATGTTCTGAATTAGGTCTTTCCGTTCTGAAGTAATGCTAGTCAGTTCTGAATATGTACTGAGAAGGCTAGAATTAAGCTGAAAAAATTGCCACTATGTTCTGAATTAGGTCTTTTCGTTCTGAAGTAATGCTAGTCAGTGCTTAATATGTCCTGTAAAGGCTGGAACAACGCTGATAAGGAAACCCAGTATGTTCTGATCTACTCCTGAAAATGCCTAGAAAAAGAACACGGTTCTGAATTCGTTCTAGTCATGCTGAAAACCAGTACTGGGTTCTAGTCTGTGCCATTAAAGAAACCATTTCAGAACAGATTCAGAATTTACTCACTATAGGATGCAAGAATTATTTCAGAATTACTGAGATTTAATTCAGCATTATTGTAAGCTTGGGCAGTTAATGAGTTTCATAAATTCTACAGAATGTTTTCTATTCAGTGATTACTGTTTGCGAATTATTCGAGAAAACACATTTCCAATTGGGATGTAACACAAGGCTGAATTCTTAAACTCTAATCCTTATATCATTTCAATCCAATCACACATATATCAGTAGGATAGTCTATAAATGACTTTAGAGACTTATCATCATCAACTTACAGTTTACTGATGATACTGTACACCTAGACTATGAGAAGTTACCCCTGATACTGGAAAATATGAAAAGAATACCGGTGTTTGATTATAGGTGTCTGTGTTCTATCTCATGATTAAAGCAGTATAATATGGCGATTGCTCTTGAGGTTACGCATAAAGTGTTAGGTGAGGAGGGTAAGTTAGTCTTCAAGGTTGGGAAGCTGAATAGGTTGAGATGGCTATAACACGTGATTGCATACCAAGCCATCGCCTTCCTCGAAGAATAATGTTAGCCAGCACATGTCAAGGTTCAAAATGTGTTTGGGTCGGTCGAATGAAAAACTGCTATTGGTTCATAAAATCGTTGACAGTCAGTTAGAAGAACTACTAGATATATGTCTGCAAGTCTTTGTTTATGGCATAGATGCATTCACTCTGTGTAATCTCACGTATCTATTCAACTCATGTTGTCACTATTTATTTTCCCTCAAATTTTCGCTCGTTAAACTTCCATTTAGTTTTATGTCTCTACTTTTGTGTGGTGTGCATGGAATGTGGTAAACTGAACAGTTGGACTTCTTTGCAAAGTCATACTGAAAGTCAGGCAGAATGACACAGGCTAGGCATAACTAAATGCGAAACACTGAATAATGGTCTCCAGAATGTCAACAAATGATAATTGCAGTTCTTAATCTTGTTCTTTGCTAAATTACTCGGAACCGAAAGTGGTGCGAACTACTCCACTAGATGTAATACCCTAGGACTAAAAACACTATGGCTAAGACGCCTGAGACTAAACTTAACACTTTACTATAAGCTTCTAAACCACTTAGTTTTTACCTCTACTAATGGTACTCGACTTTCAGTTGACAATGGCTACAAACTAAGACACACGAAGGGTACAGTAGCTATCGAACAATGTAAAACAGCCTCCAGGCAAAAGTTTTACTTGATTAGGTATGCACAGATATGGAATATACTACCAATGGAAATGCGTCAAGCAAGTACATTGGCCTCCTTCGAAAAGGTGCTTAATGACAAACTACAAGAGTTTGCAAACGATAGTAGTTCTAGTTCCTATCTGAGAGCCTCCGAAATTATAGGACCATTTGATGTATAAGCTTAAATACTACACCTGTTGTTTTTTGCCTATATTTATAATTCTAGATAAAACATTAACGGTTAAAATACGTATCCTCAAACAGACAAGAAATCTCGTTTGTCAAACTACTACCCAACACCATAAGTGGAATAAAATGGACATAAACCGACAACATGAAAAAGGTATAACTCACCACAACATCACATGGACAGATGAACGCTCGTTGGGCACCATATATCCCTCACCAACTGCAACCCACCTCTCCTTAGATAATGTGATGAACTTATATCCATAATGTTGCTGAGCAGTTAATATTCTCAACTCCTGTCGGAACAGCTGAAATTCATAAACCTTCCTCACGCTAAGAAAATACCCACAAGCAGTAGAAATCCATTAATTAATGCGTCCGAAGCTTACTTACTCCCAACAATGACATTGAACATCAAATGAGATAAACACATCACTGATCTCAAAATAACACATCAATGAACTATAATTCGAGGACTCTGCACACAACAAAGTTATGTATGAATATTGACTTCAAGCTTTATTTTTTTCCCAGGCACTTATAATCCATCCACCAAAGACCTGGTTTTTTTGTTAATGCGAAGACAATACTTCTGTATTTCCGATGCGTTGCACTCACTGACAATCTAGCAGATTTTTCCAACTGTGCATAGAAATGATTGTATATAAGTGAAAAGGCTGTTTTATACTACTGGGATTAACATTTATCAAGTGTATGTAATATCTCCAGCGGACATACAAAGCATATCTTGTTGCAGCGTGTATATTTTGATTGAATTATATGGCTCTATTTCTGTAACAATTTGATGATGCCTGTAAACCGGCGTCCCTCATGTACTGTACTATGAGAATAAATTTATTTATTTATTCATGTGCGTAAAGAGGGAATATATTATTGTAAGACGCATTTTATTGTTTTATGAGGGACTTGACTTCAAGCTTTATTTATTTTCTTATTGCTGTATCCTAAGTATTGCACTCATTTCCTTGCACTGTGTAAATAGGGTGCAACGAAGAAGTTACAATGAACTATAAGTAGGTAACGCTGACTCAAGAAATGGTAGCAGTCGAAAGAAATGAAATGAGTTGAAGACCTTGTAATAATACTAGTAATCTCCCTTATTCCAAAACAGTACTCGGCTTATTTACGTATGCATTTTAACGTGTCTTCTAATTATCTTATTTTTGTCTTTGTAGACATTGC